ATTAGACCATGACTGCCCTGAGCACCAGAGGTCCGCATGTGTTCACTTCAAAAAATACACACTTGAATAGCTCACAATTTTCAGCTTATACTTCACTTGGTTAAAGAATCAAAATGCTCAAAGCTGGAGATTCAGCTATCAGTACTATGTACAAATACGTTAGGCTGTCAACCTCAAAGTGAGCCATCTTAGTATCTGTAACTCCTAATCACCTCTACAAAACAGAGCAAAAGAGAGAACCTGACTAAACGAGCAAGACTTCTAGAGGATTCCCACCTTCTTCTTCAGCAAGAGGCATGTACCTGCTTGAGAATGAAATAGCAGGAAAGAGGAAAAGAGAACACCTCAGGCAGTAATGACAAACCTGCCTGGTCTTAAAGTACACGGCAGAAATTGTCAATAGTGGTGCATCAGTGCATAGATTGCAACTTTGCTAGCATCTCTGTGTTCAGAGAAACTTCAGGGCAGGTGATCTTGATATTACAAAACTATTACTTAAACAGCTGTTTTCTCTACTGAAAAGGGGTTTTTTTCATTTGTTTCCTGTAAAATATTCTTCTAGTTTTTTTTTCCTCTGAACACACTACTAAGTTAAAAATCATGCGTAAACAGCACCAAACACACGAGGATCAATTATTTAAGTTTTTCAATGTCTCCTAATGAGATTCTGAATATCAACCACTATATTCCTTACAAGCACCAACCTACTACAAACATTAAATAAATCTTCACATTTTTGCCAAGCACACAAGTGCTCTTGTAGATAATGGCCTCTTTTCAATTTACTTCTCAGTATTTCCTCTCCTTCTCTTCCTTCTTATTCCTTCCAAATACCCAAACTCCTTTCACCACTCTGCTCTCTCTTTTGTCTGATTACGTCTGAATCAGACCACCTAAAAATACATATTTATTGCCCCTATACCTCCACTAATATTTACTCATCTGAACAATTAAACAGCTTATTATCCTACAGTACTGCATGAATAATGTTCTGCAGAAGAACAGACTCAACATAACTACTCCTTCTGGCTTTAAAAATCTGTGAAAGTTCGTACTAAACTTTCCTTTCTGTTCTACTGTTTTTATTAACATTGCTAGAAAACTTTTTTTCCCTCTCCTACCAAGACTCTAAAATTTTTTGCTGTCCAGTTCTGTTTAGATATTGAATAAGGTGTTGAAGTATGAGGAAGAGGAACAGCTGGGAGATGTGAGATTATAGCAATAGGCTTGCGTTTTCAAAATTACCAGTAACGTTAACGATATCAATATTGATTCTTATTACCTTAAAGTAAAAAAAAATTAAAAAAAAAATATATATATTTGGGGATACATTAATATGAAATGCCATTCATATATGAATGAGCTTCACTGTGAAGCTTCAGAATAGGAGCAGCATATAAACAGCATGACCACAAAAAGAATCAAAACCCCAACTGCAAAGATTTCCAGTAGCCCGCTTAGCACACTTGCACACAAAAAAACCCTGCAGTATGACCTGTTCACATTTAGATGATCGTGACATCTCAAGTATATGGAAACACTCACATCACATCTGGTGTGAACAGAGTTCTTTCTTTCTGTAAGGATGATATTTTGACTACGTGACACAGCAGAACATTTCCCAAGATATTTTAAATCAAATTTTATTATGTTCTTAGTGCAATACAAAGTCTGCCTATTGACAACATCTACATATATTGAAAAGAAATCTTGACTCTGTAAAATCTATTTTCCTAACTCTTCCCTTTCCTATTAGCTAAATAACAAACACTGGTTAAATTGTTCTTCTGTTAAGCAATGTTTAAATTATTTTCTTTTTCCTCCTCTTTCAACATTATGTAAAGTCCTCAGTTTGTCTTTTAGTCCAATTTTATAGAAGTATTTTGGAGCCAGTCTGCAAATTTCAAAGATTTTTTTTTTTGCTTACATATAACAGAGGCAAAGTATGATAAATGAGAATATATGTAAGCAACAAATTACATAGAAAAGGTAGTAGCAAGCAGCCAAACAACAATAAAATAGCAATAGCCAAGAGCAAGAAACATCCCAAGAAAGCACACTCAGCTAAAGAACAACTCTAAGTTTTCCATTCAGTGCAATTAATCTACTTTGAAATTTTTTTTTTTTAATTGTTGACATAATATTTATTACCTGCACTGTGTGGGTAATCAGGACTGATGTCTACAACTAGCAAAAAAAATTTAAACAATTATCAAGAAAAAAAATGCACAGCTTTCCTCCACTTAAGTACAGCATTTTCTAAGAAGGTAGGATATGCAATCCTGCTGTAAATAACAGCTATCAGTTAATTTACAGCTTTTAAGCGAGGAAGGTAATGTTTGTAAAGTTCTCTAACCTTCTCTAACGAGCATGCATCTTGGAAGAACTCATCCCTTGGTGTAAATCACTATAGTCAACACAGATACCTCATTATAGGCTCTTTAAAGGCCTATTCTATCCCCCCAACCCCCCATTTTTTCTCTACAGAGGCTGGGGGGTTTGTTGTTTTGTTGTTTCTACTCAAACTGTATGACAAATCAGGAAGAAATTAAGTGTGGCACTATTTCAGAGCTGGTCTTGTTTAACACTCCTCCCACTCATAGCCATGTAGAACATACATGGTAATGAAATTTCTCCTGGTGCAAAACCAGTCATATAGGACAGTAACAACAGAAGAGATTTTATAGCACCGCTTGAAGTGATTTAACAGCTGGAAAGGAGAAACAATTAACAAAATTGCATTAGCCTGCTCCCAACTGTGAGAGACTGAAAGAGTTAATGAATGTCTCAATCATTGTAGCAAGACAAGTTCTGCACAGTAACAAGTTCTCCATAACTAAAGTAACAATAAGAGGAGCAGTTAGTGAGATGCAGAAGACTATTAGCAAGATGCAGAAGGTGGGATTCAGAAGGCACATTGGAGGATGTGTAGTTCTGTGTTCTGACATGCTGAACAAAACACCACCATATATATGGTCAAAAGTGACACAGAGTTTGTTGCAGGAAGGGGATGAGCGACCACCAGGATCCCCAAAAAAGATCCTCTGCGACCACCCTTCACAGTGGCACCTGCACAGTGAGACATAAAGCCTCACTCGAGGGACAGGGACTAAACTGTATAAAGACACAAACTGAGGGAGCCACATGCCTGCCCACCACTGGAGCACTGCCCCTTTGGTCTCGGTATCATCATGGGATCTGGGGGTCATGATACCTTTCCTTATCCCTTTCCTTTCCTGTCTCTCTCTTCTCTTCCCTCTTTTACAGAGTTTGTTCCAATAAGAACCCACATTGCCAACATTTTTAGATTTTCCAAGTTCAGGTTATTTTCATTATAAATAAAACATGTGACTGATAATTTGGTGTCGTTTCACCTTAATTTAGCCCAAGGGGATTTACAGAACTTTAGTCACTCTCCTCCCACCTCAGAGGTAGGACACAACACCAGTGGACCACCAGGAAGGATTGCCACCAAACTACTGATTACTTCTAAACTAAAGTTTGGTGTACACAAGCTAAAACTCCATCTAGGTCCTCCAGTTAATACCCTCAAAATCTTGGTGTAATAGCAGAAAATGAAACAAACAGTTGTGATCTTATCTTTACTTATTTAGAAAGCTATTCTGTGTGTAGATTTGCATATGGAGACTACTATCTTAACTACTGTCCTCCTTATTTCCTAACAGATAAAGAACTGTCTCGACTTGGCTTCCAGGTTGCCTTGACTTCTGTAAGCAGTAACAGCTCCCAAGGGATCACTAGTAAAAGCTACAGTTTATTTCTCACTTTTTGTTTGTTTACTTATGGTGGACGGGGAGGCCAGAGGCAGGTAGGATATGGAATGCTAGACCAGCTTAACTTCACCTGAAGATGTCTCTTTAGTAAAGGGCTGTTTGAAGACAGCTCTCTATTTTTTGCTGGCTGAGTGAGGCCAAGATCTTGCCTTTGTCCTCATGACAAGGCTTTTCCCTAAAACAGGGAACCTTTGTGCTGAGACCGGAGGTTCAAAAATAATCTTGGCGACGTCTGCTATTTACCCTTTATTTTGCCTTCACTTAAATAAGAGATAAATAAAGTAATTTCGCTGCTTCATATTTGTCATCAATTAGTAAAGTACAGCCCCTACAAAAGCTCACTGCATCTGGATTTTAAAAAGACAGCAAGAATCAAAGCACTAGACCACACAGAATCACAGAATGTCAGGGATTGGAAGGGACCTCATTGGACCATCTAGTCGAATGCCCCTGCCGGAGCAGGAACCTAAATGACATCACACAGGAAGGCATCCAGGCAGGTTCTGAATGTCTCCACAGAAGGAGACTCCACAACCCTGGGCAGCCTGTCCCAGTGCTCTGTCACCCTCACTGTAAAGAAGTTTTTCCTCAAGTTTAAGCGGAACCTCCTGTGTTCCAGCTTACACCCACTGCCCCTTGTCCTACCATTGGGCATCACTGAGAAGAGCCTGGCTCCATTCTCGTGACATTCACCCTTAACATATTTATAAACATTAACGAGGTCTCCCCTCAGTCTCCTCTTCTCCAAGCTAGAGAGACCCAGCTCCCTCAGCCTTTCCTCATAAGGGAGATGCTCCATTCCCTTAATCATCTTGGTGGCTCTGTGCTGGCCTCTCTCAAGCAGTTAAGATACTGAACTTTCAAGAATAGCCAGGCCTTTACAGAATCGTTTACTTAACAATCACAAACATTAAGTTATATTTATAAATAACTACAGGTTAACAGAAGGAGCTAGTACTGCCATTATTTCAACACATAAGAAATAAAACACAGAAAAAACAGAAGGCCAGTAAGGGAGAGATAATTAGAATTTAACAGTTAATGACTTAAATCTTTGTCTCTTATTTTGATAAGTATATGTATATATTGTTGTATATAATACGTTGGTATAGCCTAATCTCTACACAAACAGTAATTATTTGCTGTTCACCACGCATGATTCATAGACAATCCTCAAGTAACCATAAAAAATTAAGCTACACTTACCCTTGTGTGGGTGCGAATATGCATCTTCAATCCATCGTTCTTGCTGAAAGCTTTGTCACAGTAAGGACACTGGTAAGGACGCTCACCTGGAAAGAAGAAAAGCATTAAAATCCATAAATATGGTCTCAGTATATAAAGGCCTTGCGGCACGGTTATTTGTCAAACTGAGGTACTTATTTCTGGCCTTGTCTGCGCACTAAGTTCAAGGAAAGAGAGACCTAAGCATCAGGAAAATTACAAATAAAGGTCCAGCTGAGCAGGATACAAGGCTGGATCAAAATACTCCTCTTTGCTGCTTGATTTTGTTGTAGCAATATATGAATACACACAGAGAGCTGGGAGGAGAAGAGAAAAACAAAACAAAAAAACCCCAAAACCCATTTAAACACCCACTGCCCTTGCTCAAACCCCATTCCACAGTGACTTACACATAGTCACTTTTATGGTTAGGCATTAACTGCTCCCAAATATTTCTTCTGTTTCACATCTGGTCATTATTAGAGCTCTCTAGGTATCAGAATCTCAATGAAATATAAAGTCTACTGGTTTTTAATGCTGTATGTGAACTAACTGTGCCAAAAGCTAGTTAATCAAAAGTTTCTGCAATTTTTATGTCACAATTTATGACTGAAATGAAAGCAGAAGGATCTTAGCATTTCCTTTGCAGCATCCCATATCTTAAAGGTATTTAGTTTAATGCTCCATTAAACTGGTGTCATTTAGCATCAATTTTCCCAAACTCATATTAGTGTAAAGTGGATACTGAGCTTCAGAATCAAAGAGTGAAGAGTTTCTAAGCTAGCTTCATAATTTGGAAGAAGTGATAGAGCTGTGTAATTCCCTAAGAGTATTTTAATTTTTAACTCTTTAGACAATGCACTGGAATCTGAGTCTATTGCCTCCTCTTTCTATACACAGTGCTTTAAAAGCAAATATCAGGTTGTTTCCAGTACAAAACCACAGTGCAACAAATTCAGACACAATAACTATTTTTCTATTAACTAAATGGAATTTGTTCTACACTATAGTAATGCTGAACATGTAACAAACCTTTATTTGAAAATACAAGTTAAGCAAAGCCTGTTCTACCAAGTAACTGCCCAGCTTTCTGCTCATGAAAAAAAATCTTTGCATGTATAGAGAGAGTCAACATAGTCCAAATATCAAACACTTATTAACACTCATACTCAGTCCTGGAAAACAGTAAGATAAACTACATTTTACAGTTGAAAAAATCCCAGACATATTTTACCGATACGCCAAAGATTAGAGTGCCAGAGAGCAGTAGTAACAGAGATAAGCATTTAAAGCTCCACGATCCCTAATAAAAGGGATATTCATCCTGACTTGGAGAAAGGAAGCCTCATCCCTGCTCTCATCTTTTCTCCGCATAAAGTGTTCCTCCATGATTGCTCAGAGGGAAGATACTGGACTTTTTCTTTCTTGGGAACAAGATGACAGAGGATCACAAGAAGTATGCAAAGGAGACAGCTTAGAGAGACAGCTCTTCAGAAGGACCAATTCTGAGTACAGTACAGCTGATGAACTGATAGTCACAGTCGTACATAAAATCTCCACATAGTCACAGGTTGTGTAAAGATTTGGGGGCAGCTGAAATTAGATGATTAAGTAACCCCTCCCTATTTAGTAGATAAGACTATTCTGTTCTTTTCTGCCTATTACTGTTTAGAAAACTGTTAATGACAGCAGCAAAAAAACTGTATAGCAGTGTACTTTTGAAATATAATTTTTTTCCCCTCTCATATCCTGCCATCTCTCAGAAAGCACAATTGTGTGAATTTGGCTTTTTTATTTTTAGGATGATGACAAGAATCACTGCATTTTTAACTGTGTTTTTGTTGTGCAGTTTGAAATACAATACTCTCTCTCATGACCCTCGATGTCTTTAATCCATGCCTCTGAAATTCAAACACTCCAACAGTTGTCAGTACTCAAATATTTAATTAATTCAGTCGACATTTTTATGTTTTAGGGCTTTTGAACACAGAAGTTAAAGCTTTCAGTAGTTTGTAAGCAGAGGAGCGTTGACAGGTAGGAGTCATACCCCTCCTCCCTCTCTCCCTCTATCCCAGTCTCTTGAAACAGAAAGACTTCTGCTTTCAAAGGATGGTTTTGAGTTTGTCTGCAACGGATTAACAGCATCCTTCAGAAACTAACCATGGAGACCACAGTACCTGATGAGTAAGACCTTAAGAGCTTTCAGCAGATGCCAGTAGAGGGCAACAGTATGACTTCATATCAACATGTTACACCTGAAAAAGACTGGCTTCAAGCAGCTGTTACATACTCCAAATTCTCAAAAATCTTCATTGTTCCAAAAATCAAGTTTACTATGAAACCCAGACCGCAAGCTCTGACTTGACATTGATGCTTGGTGACACCCTATTTTTCTAAATTCTATAAACAACTTCTCATACTCTTGTGTCATCAATAATTGTCAGTAAAACAAATTAAAAGATGACCCCAAGTAATTTTACTATTGAGATTATTTTTTATATTATTTTGCTTAATCTTTGTAGCCTGTATGCCCAAAACACATACAAGTGCCCTTACACTTACAGAAGCAACTGTTTCCTCTGTGCATATACATCCTTTAAATATGTAACTTATCTTCTACCTCAGAGAGTTTTAGGATTTTACAAAATTACCAGTGGGCCACTTAAAATACATCTCTGCTTGCATCAAACAAGTTTCTTAGAATAAATTTCTTAGTCTCTCTGTAACCAGTACAAAGATGAGTTTGTGACATTGTATAAGAAATATTTGGTTATTTATAACTGTTTTTCATAAAAAACAACCTGCATTTTAAAATTACTTTATATGTAAACAAGAGTAAAATTCCCCTCATTTGACATCAGCCATGTGAAAATATAATGTCTAATTTTATCTAGGTGTTCTGAATCCCAGTGATATTAAGGATAAAGTTAGGATGAGTTGCTCTCTGGGAAGGGTCTAACTTTGTTTCCTGTCTGAGAACTGAATGAACTCTCTTCATTTAATGCATCTTTTTCTGTTTACTGTACCAGGAGCCTAGGAATCTAATTCAGATTAGATGTCTGAATGTATGGATAGCAGATTTTGGCAAGATTATTACAATCTTACTTATTAACTTCTCTATCTCCAGTAAAAATTAACTTCCCTCCTTGCTTCAGAACTAGACTAGGCAAACATTATTCACGCTACCAGTTGCTCATAAGAATGATCCCAATAACAAATTCATCTACCGGGGAAGCAGGTGTTTCCCAGGAGAAGTCTTACGTGGTCTATCCCACTTGAAGTCCTGTAAGAGAAACAGGAGCAGTGGATCCTTTCTCTAACACTGTGATAAGCAAATGGCACAAGATGACAACAGAGAAAAAAACAGATTTTAAATAATTAATGTTCAATATTTTCCTCCCACACACTAAGGTTTGCTGAAGTGCAATGTTTCACATAGAACTACTGCAAGTCTCCACAAAGTTTAGAATCGTCACTGAGAAAAACTGGAAAGCAAGTGCTATGTGATAAAAAATCCCGGGAAGCTGACATTACCCATCAGTGCTTTCACATTCACCCACAATTAAGCAAAGACCACCAAAAATAAATTATAAGGATTGGGATATTAAACTTCAGATCAACTCATGCACAATAAAGACTTGGAGATTTCCACATGTAAAACTTCTCTGATCAGAAAATAAATGGACCTGTTACAAGGAGATTAAAAGTAAGAATGACTAAGATGAGCAAATGAAATGGTGTTGCAGGTCACATGCGTCTACTTATTTCTCTTGTCCTCACAAAAAGGAGTTACTAAGCATCAAAATGAAAGCAAGCTATTTCCCCTATGACAAACAACAATTTCTCTTGGATTTACTACTAGAAGCACGCTTATGAGATATGGTGTCAATATGTGGTAACGCGTGTCATACTAAGAGGAGTCTCATGTTAGGCAAAGTTGTTGCTGCTGATTAACAATTATGCCAGTGGCACTCTGCATTTTTATATAAATATATATAAAATCCAGAAATATCTTTATGTTTGGAGGCAATGATAAATCCTTACCAGGGGCATCATACTGAAGTGCACCATTTTTTTACTATAATGCCTTTTCATTGCAGTCATTAGTAGAGTAAGTTTTGAAAGGTGTTGGTTGTTTTTTTTAAAAAAATTGATTTACATAAAAAATACAGATAATGGGGGTGTGTGGGAGGAATCTTTTCACTCTGAAATACACTACCAAGCCTAACATTTTTAAAATATTTGAAAAATGGCCCAGCCTTCTATGTTATTGTTTGCAACTTTGACATTAAGCCACAATTGAGACTATGATCCGCACTTTTCACTAAAACATTTCACCAGGCTTTCTGCTTTAGTACACTATCAAAATCCAGTAGGCATATTAAATACATCTTAATTTGACAGCTTGTCCAGTCAACATGCCCAGAAGTATTGTTGTGAATGCAACAGTAACTAAGAATAATTGCTATCATTAAAATAGGAAAACATTCAAGTAAGACAGATGTAACAAATGTTACATTTACCCTCAAGTTCCAGCTGACTGTCATGTCCCTGCTGTCCAAGAACAAACTGCTCAACACGTTAATGGCACTTCCGTACAAATAACCCCAAATAAATAATCCTTGGATAAACTGCAATGGATTTAATATAATTCAAAGTCTAGACATTGTACTTCCAGATTTTGTATGAACAAAAACAAAGCTTTTAACATAATAAAAAAAAAAAAATTTAACCCTAATACAGGGATTACGAAACACAATTCCATGATTGAAAACCATATGGGATTTTGATCTGAAAACATGTCATGATAGATTTTTTTATTATTATTATTTATTTCTCAAGCGTGTACATCTCTAGCCTGAGATCACAATACCTACTGGACCTTAATGTAGCATAAAAAGTTAAACAAGAGGTTCTTCCATTCCAGTTCAACTCGGGTTGGACAGTTTTCTGAGACATTTGCAAAGGTACCATAAGGCAATATTCACAGTGAGTTTAGCACACAGATTTCCCAAACTCAGACAACCCCTAGGCGCAGAACAATTAAGAAACAAAACCAAAAACACAT